AAAAAAAAGGAACAACACCAAACAAACCCAGTGGGATATGGCCTTAGGGGTGCTTATACGTAAAAATCTGAATTCCAACAAAAACATTACTCAAGTATCTTTTATAAATTAACAAAAACACATACCTTCTCCCTGCTAGTATCTTTGCCATGTTGCCGTTGTTATTGGTAACAAACACATCACTCTCATCGCACACTATGAAATCTAATGCAGCCATTCTTGAAGAAAAAGCAGAAAACTGTTTGAGTTCCTCTTGGCTTGCCAGAATATCTTTAGAATAGAAGTTCGGGAAAAGAGCCTTTAGTGGGGCCAATGTTGCCTCTCCTCCATATACTTCTCCAGAGGCTACGAATATATGGGTTTCTCGGTCATACCCAAGTGCTCTTAGCAGAAGACCAACTTCCTCTGGAGTAAGTGGGCATCTCCCTTGCCTTCTCTCCCTATCTGGATTAGGAGACTGCAAAATCATATCAACAGTAAGTGCCTATGTCCTTCATACTCTCTCTCTCTGTTTTCTTCTTCTTTTTATAGTTAACAAATATTAAAATAAAACAGAAACTAGGTACTAAAAATGTTTTGTTCTACGGGTTGCAGGAGAAGGTTCTAGCGCTCTTAACAAGTTATGACTTTAGCGTGGCAAGTGGGACTATCAATTATATGTATTTTAACATCCGTACTACATTCCAAATTCCACACTGCTGCAAGTCTGCGCGCATTTCAACATTTTCATTCCAGTAGGTGAAAAATTTAACTACCAGTATATTTCAAAATATAGCTCAATCTTTTAACATCAGTGCAGACCACAACTCCCACCACCACTGTGATAAAGAAGCCTTCGACAGAAAATGACCACCAATTTATTCTACCCGTGAAGTGTAAAATGACAAGCATTACATGCAAAGTTTTCCATCTCCGCCTTATCTTAGCCAACTCCCTTATCTCTCTGTCTCCTCCGCCGTAATAACATCCTGAGAATGCAAGCATATCAGGTTCAAACCTGTAACAATAAACTCAGTCAAGTAAAGCAATTTTTTCACCCTCGTTCTAGAGGAGAAATTCAAATGTCCCAGTGCAGAAATCAATTTCTGAAGGCATAATTGATAAGTCATGAAGACGACAAAAGAAATGTCAACAGAGGAAACTACATCTACTAAAAAGTTAAACAAAAGTTATAAATATTATTAGCCTAAAAAATGAAAAACAAACATTTACTATGTAAAATTAAATAATAATATATTCAGTGAAATATCCATAGAAAAATCTATTCTACGCTCAGAACACTAATGCCAAACCTTAAATGGAGGGCAATGTAATGCTTGCTCTTCCTCCTCATTCTTTGCACCAATTTTGCACCCATTTCAAGGATGGGTTTAGTGAACTTCAAAGCGTGGTAGTTAACTCTACACCTAAGCTTTTGAAGATCCAAGCTCAACCTATTTGAAAGTCTATAATCGAATTTGGTCAACTGTACAGCCTGTGGGACAAAAGGTTTCAATCATTACTTGCATTATAAATCAACAGCTAATAATATAACGATTCCACATTTACATATATGAAAGTGATTAACTATATATTCCAGTGGTCCACCATTATAATAGAACACAACATAGATATTTGCATTGCACCCAAGAAGCAACGAGACATTCGTTTTATGTTTGAATAAATTGATCCTCTTTTGCACAAACTTCCAAAAAATAACAATAGGAGTACTCAAATAATCTTTCAAGTTTCAAGCAACAGCATAAGTGACCAAGCAAGAACTTGGTACTGGAGGCCTCATTACCCATTGCTACATTATGACCTATATAATGAAGCAAAAAATTCTTCCATTCAGAAAAGTTGATTTTTTCAACCTCCAAAAATTCACCTAGCCTTTAGCAGAATTTTCTTCTTTGAAGACAACTAGAAAACTAGAGCATTCGAGTCTTCAAGTGTTCTATATGAGGAGTTCAACAGGAATATAATTGACAACAACCAATTCCATTATGTGAGAAGACTACTTTCCATTCCGGTACATTATAAACCTTACCTCCCCAAATTATGGCAGAGAAATAAAACATTAGAACCCAAATAACAACCAAAAGATATCACTATAGCAAGTTAAAACAAACTCATGGAAAAATGATCATACTCACTCTCTTCGTCAATCTCATCTACACAGGAACATTTATTCATACCATAGGAAGACAACTGTATTGACTTACACGCTTCTTCGATAGTACAGGTACTAAACGCCTAATATAGCATTGCTCATTGCACTTTCTTGGAACACGCATGGTATACGGATTCCATATCTGCCCCCTTCTTCGTGGGAGCTCTTTTATGATTTTTACGTCTTTCTTCAAATACGATATAAACCAATCAGTGTCGAAGATCTCTGAAAAGTTGCTGCAAAAGAGCAACATTGAGTGACGAGAAAGAAGTTAAATTGAAAACTTACAGAATCTGAACAAAGCTTTTACCTAACATCTTTCCAGAAAGACTTCTGATCCAATTTTGGGACAACAAGGGTGGCATTCAATATGCGAGCTGCAACAACAGCATCGGTAATCTGCAGAACATAATAATAACATATTTCAGCATCTTCAACTGAAGCCCCAGATTACACTGACCATTGGAAAAAATGTACGAGGAAATTCACATTGAATTTAGACTATACTGCTATTTCCATGCTCGAAGTAATGGAAACAAAGAATAACAAAATTCAGAATGACTGCAATTTGCAAATTAGGCTCCTAAACTCTAATACAAAACAATGTAACTGAACTTCTAAGCCGAACAAAGTCGGGAATCTGTGCTAAATGTTTACACATTTGTGCACCTCATAATTGGATAACAAAATCCAACTTCAAAAAGATATCAGTCTACATCCCAGCAGCTCTTTTCGGATGCTGTATGATGTATGACTAGGATTATGGCACATCTCTTGATGATTTCAGCGAAATAAGTGGGAAAAGAAAACTAAGACTTTCAATAAAAATTGTGTAAATTTGCAAAATGAGTTTGTCCATTGCAAATGATGCTCGAAGAGTCATTGTTGACAATTCTCCTGGCATAGTGCTAATAATGGACTAGATCAAAATGGCTCAATTAATTTCTAGTGCTTCTTCTATTAGTGAAGTTTCTAGAAAAAAATATATCAAACGGCGCAATGCACCTTGGGTCGCTACGGAAACAGCCTCCTTATATAATTACAAGGTAAGGTCTGCGTACAACTGACCCCCCAGACCCCAACTTGGGAATATACGGGGTATGTTGTGATTGTGATTGTTGTGAAAATTCGCAAAATGAGAACCATAAATACTACTAGCCATCAGCAAAGAAGGATTAAAATATAATAGAGACTGGTAATATTGTCTCCTATCAATTGTTTAACATCTCTCCCATTAAACATTTTATACCAATAATTGTTAAAAAAAAAAATTGCATAAAAAATAGATCAAGATAGTAAAATTTCTTCCTAAGGGTTGATTGGCTAAGAACATTAAAACCATTCCTCAAAAGCAAATTGGAGATAATATGAGCAAATAGAGTAAGTACCCCAGTTCTTTGCTGGTTTAGACCTCCACTGGTTGCAATGGCCAGGTAGCGGTTAGGATGTGTTATGGCAGAGGCTTCTGTTGTTCAAAACGCAATAGCAAAATGGGGGGAAAGAAGAAGGAAAGCAAGAAAGAACGCAAGAACCATACACAATGTTAAAGAAAACAAAGCACCTATTTATCAATAACAAAGAACATTAACATCTTAAATGTGTTTACGCACTCTCGAATGCGCTGCTAGAATTGCTGCACCCGTAATAAAATCCTGCATTTTTCGTGGTCCAAAGATCCCGATGATGTACTCCTCCACTGTTCTGGATCTCATCACAAAACAAACGTCGCCGTTTAGCACAAACATCAAATCCAGAGATACAAAAACATAGAGGCAAATGAATCAAAAGGACCTAACCGGAACACGAAATAGTGGCGCTTCCTTTCGTTCGACGCCGTCATTATTCATCTACAGCCAAAATATCAGCAGAACCAAATGAATAACAACACTTGACCTCTACCACTTCCACGGGCGAATATAAAGCAGAAGAGATAAAAAAAAAAAATCCAAACAGAACGAACCTTTCTGCTCGAAATTACTGGTATCCTGCGACGATGGATATGATCGCCGTCCATGGGAGGCGGTGCCAGAGAAAAGATAAGAACAAAAAGCAGGAGAATGGCAGCGGAGACAGCCGAGATGGCGGGAATAAGGCGGTGGCGGTACTGGTGGCGCCGCCGCGGGTATGCCATTAAAGGGAATAGCCGCGTTGCTGCGGACGGGGGTTACTTGAAGAGACTCGGGGACAACGAAATAATGCAAAAGTCAGCACTTTTTGGAAGATGGAGGAGAGGAGCAATCCTTGGAGTTTTACAGTTGGACCATACGGCAGATAAAGACAGATGATTTATGATGCTCTGCAAATCGTCAACCAAGGAGACTGTAAATTGTAAATTGGATTTGAGGGGTTTTAGGGGGATTGTAAGAAGGAGATTCTTTTCTTCACGGGCGAGCTTACAAATGGAATTAAAGAAAGATCATTGAAATCATCAATCCCCTTCCATGGCGGTGGCATCTTGATGTTCGGATTTGATGGGAACGAGATAAAAGAAATGTGTGAGATTCGTTTTGTTTATTCATTTGTTTGTTAGTTCTTGTTAAAGGTTTTTTTGTCTATGTTGTTCGATTTAAGCTAAAACTTGTCTAATATAAGAACATCCATCATGTTGTGGATTCAATTACAAAAAATTATATATCACCTAAGAAACAGACTCGGTCTACGAAAAATATACTCTCCAATATAAATAGAAGTAGACTGAAACTTGATGTGACAGCTAGAAAAAGAGACTCGGTGTAAATTTAAATCTATTTTAGACTCAGTTATATGTCTAATCTCTTTGCATTGGAGTGAATTTTATTAATTTTATATAATTTTATTCATGTTATTTGAAATTTAGGTTTATTTACATGTCACATAGACAAAATTAGACTTAATGCATTGTAGATGCTCTAAGTCTATTTTAGCCCAAGTAGAGACCTAATCTCTTCGAATTGGAGTGAATTTTATTAATTTTACATAATTTTTATCAATGTTATCAAAAACTTTAGTTTATTTACATGCTACATAGACAAGACAAGACTAGACCTAATGCATTGTAGATGCTGTAACAGATTAACTTACATTAGATAACAATAACTATTAAGCAACATTTTGTAATGTAAATGTTACATTTATTTATCTATACTACTTTAAAAGGAGGAGTGTTTTTGTAAAAATTCATAATGCCTAAAAAACTCTTACTTTGACATAAATTTAATGACAAATTAGAAATATACTAATACACATCATATTTTATTTATATTTTTAATTAAAAAATGAACTACCTAAAAAACCCTTACTTTCATATGTTTTTAATGACAAATTGGTAATATACTAATGCCATCATATCTTATATCCTCCCTATATATAATTAAAAAAACATAACTTTTCTCAATTCAACATAAAAAAATCAATGAAAAAAATATATTTTTAAAAATTTTATGAACAAAAGTTGACTCGACAGTATTATTAATGAATTTATTAATTGTAATTATTTAATTAAAATATTAATTAAAAAATTTTAATTATATATAATATAATATAGAATATACAAATGTTTGATGTATAATGGGGCAGATGATCGAAAAAATTCTATACTTTATATTATGTCTTTTTTTTGACAAATCTACAGTTAACAACATGTGAAAGAACAAGATAAAGTTTTAAAAAATATTAAATATAACAAAAATAATATGAATAATAACTAAGTGGTGACACGTACTAATAAATATAAAACAAACTAATAAACAAAATAATATAATTAATATAACTAAATATAAACCTTCTAAAAATATACTTATCGATGTAATCGAACTGGGTTGTTAAACGCTTGTTAGTTTTTTGTTCTTATTAATTTTATGTGTAAATTGGAGGTAATAGACAATAGTTAGTTGTACATTTATAAAAAAAAAAATCTTTATTATTCTAATTTTAAATAACATTTTTATTTACTATATTAGTTTTTTAATATAATATATAAGTATCATATTGAACAGATAAAACAAGAAATATTTTAATTATATAATATTTAATATCTAAGAAATGTAACTCAATTGGTAAATTAATAGATAATCTTGGGATAAAATAATGAGTGATTTCTGAAAAAAAAAATTATAGGAACTAAACAGTTCATTTGTTTAATATATTTTTAATAGAAAAATTGTAAACACAATTACTCAATAAATACTACATAAAAAATATAAGAAAACTTATATCCTCCCTATATATAATTAAGAAACATAACTTTCTCAATTCAACATAAGCAAATCAATGAAAATAATATATTTTTAAAAATTTTATGAACAAAAGTTGACTCGACAATATTATTAATAAATTTATGAATTGTAAATATTTAATTAAAATATTAATAAAAAATTATAATTAAATATAATATAATATAGGATATAAAAATATTTGATATATAATGAGGCAGATGATCGAAAAAATTCTATTCTCTATATTATGTCTTTTTTGACAAATCTACAGTTAAGAACATGTGAAAGAACAAGATAAAGTTTTTAAAAAATATTAAATATAAGAAATAATATGAATAATAACTAAGTTGTGACACATACTAATAAATATAAAACAAACTAATAAACAAAAATAATATAATTAATATAACTAAATATAAATCTTCTAAAAATATACTTATCGATGTAATCGAACTGAATTGTTAAACGCTTGTTAGTTTTTTGTTCTTGTTAATTTTATGTCTAAATTTGAGGTGATAAACAATAGTTATTTGTACATTTATACATGTAGATTAGAAAAAAAAAATATTATTCTAATTTTAAATAACTTTTTTTATTTACTATAATAGTTTTTTAATATAATATATAAGTATGATATTGAACAGATAAAACAAGAAATATTTTAATTATATAATATTTATATGTGAGAAATGTAACTCAATTGGTAAATTAATAGGTAATCTTGAGATAAAATAATGAGTGATTTCTGAAAAAAAAAAAAGGAACTAAAAATTTCACGTGTTTGATATATTTTTAATAGAAAAATTGTAAAAATAATTACTCAATAAATAATACATAAAAAATAACGTTTGAGAGGACTACAAAAATTTTGCGATACTGCAATGAAAAATTCAACGGTAAGGTATTCTACTGAAAATTTCAACGAATATGTTGCTTTCATTGGCTATTCCAATAGAGTTCAAATTAAATTACATGAACTTTAGTGGATGTAAAGATTTTAATTACCTGAATTTCTATTGGAATTTATTTTTTGGACCATATTTCAATCGTTGAAAAAATTGTCATTGGTATTATGCAAAAATTCAATAGAAGTTCCATTGGAAAGATAATTGCAGTGATAGATCCAAAATAATTTCATATTGGGAGCATTATTTAGTTAATAGAAAAAAATATACCATCAAAATAACATGTCATTGCAATTTATAAATTATACTTTACATAATCTATCACCTTTCTCATTTGTAATACATTTTAATAAATCTATGCAATCACAATAAGGTAAAATATATTTAAGAAACCAAAATTCAAGATTTTTCTAAAATCAATATAGGAAAATCGTTATATTTGTTGTAATTTTTATTGGAATTTTCTCATTTTTTTGTAGTAAAACTAAGACTCCAAATCTATAAAAAAATGCATTATATATAATATTGTGTGCAACTATTATTATGAAAATTTTTGGTACGATAGAAAATATAACACATTCAATGTAATTGGCGTTCAATTTAATATAAGAATTAATTTTTTTTCAAAGCAAACAAGATACTTTGAAAGGTCCTTAATTATTTTATTAATATTGTAATAACTAAATAAGGGGTAAGAAAGATGACAAAACTTATAACTCTCATTAAATCCAAAAGTAAAAATGCTGATAAAATTACTTAATGCACAATATCAACTGGAGCTGGCTAATGATAAATATAAAACATACTTAAGATACACATATATTTTAACTAGAACTTTTAAGTACATAATATATATATACATATATATATATATATATATATATATATGTATCTATATATTCATATGTATATTTCTTTAAAAGGGGGTATGTTAATCTTATAATTTTTTAGTTAAGATTTTTATTACTTTCTATCATTAAATTTTTTAATTTTCAAATACTTCATATTTTTTATTTGTTACCTTTTTATATGTAATATATCACATCATTTATTTTCAATGATGTTTGAGTTGACCCATATATTGCAATAAAATAAAAATAATATAATTATTTATATTGATATAAATAATATATAATATATATCAGTACTAATTTAAAATAATAAATTAGTCATAAAGTATATAATATAATAAATTTTATATTCATGTTAAATCAATTTTATTAAGTATAAAATAACATAAGATAAACTTGTAGTATGTTTTTCATACATAAATTTAAAACAATTCATATTAAAAAAAAAAAGTAAAAAAATGGGTGTAAACTTCTAACTGTTCCCACATTTTGGCTAGAGCGCCCAAATCCGATATATGTTTGACATGAGTTTGTCGTAATGCTGAAATTATGGCAAATGCACCTTAGGGTACAAACCAAGCGAAGCAATGTGAAGTCATAAATAAAAGAAAAGGCTAGGCCAGAGAAATGAAATGAAATAACATTGGCTATGTGAAGTCAATTACTGCTGCAAAATGAACCCTATAGTGGTGTCATATATGTATTCAGTGATTATGAAAATGACTTAGTTAATTAATATTTTATCAAACATTTAAAAAAATTCTAAAACTTTTTAATCTAATAGTTCGTATAGAAAGTACAATTTTATCAAATATATTAAATTACATTTAATCTTATGTGATTATATTAATTGTAGCCTAATAAATAAGATAATTTGATACCATAATTATATAAAACACATACAAAAAATAACATAATACGTATAAATGTGCTTTAGTTACTTAGCAAATAAAATATTATTTATCTATAGAATAAGAAACAAATAATATAATAGTAATGCAATGAGAAAAAGAAAACATGCTAATTTTCTTAGAAAAGTATGAATACCAATATTTACAAACAAAAAGTCTTTTAAAATTACTACTTTTTTGTTGCTAGCGTTTAAATATATGGACTCTGTAAGAAATTGGTTCTCATAAATAATGATCATATATTATTTATTTTCAATTTTAAAGAATTAAA